TGACCCCTTTCCTCATCAAGGTCTAATCGAGAAAAAACGACTAGACAATTACTTCAGAACGCTTTGACATGAAGACTTCAAACTTGACACATGAAGAGGTGGTGAGAGGAAAGGTGAATACCTCTGTGCGTCCTTCCATCTAGCCGTACGTCCGTCTTTTACGCTTTGGGGTACCCATTTTTATCCACAACTCCTCTTATACCAATGAATGAAATTTAATGAGACTCACAGAATCTTTGTTACATAGTGCCATCGTGAACCTCTAAATTTACTTTTTGATCCGACACATAATTTGGATTTCCCATAGCAAAACCTGGACACTGTCATTCTTTCTATAATATTGAAGGGTACCCATCTCTTATCCTCAACTACTCCTATACCACTAGATAAAATTTAATGCCCTTGTGCACCTCCTAATTTTACTTTTTGATCTGACACTTATTTCGATTCTCCCATCGCAAAACATGGACTTTTCCATTATAATCATATGGGAAGCGGGGGGGGGGGGGGTTCATTTAGTGAGCTCAGTGCTCACAGTACTTTAATATGCTGTAATGATTAATTTAACACAACTTAGGCCAAACAAAAAAATATGTGTGGTTCCGGTTACACTTCCAAAAAAAATTAGGGTAGGTAGGTAGGGATTTTTTTTTTTTTATTATTTTTTTTACAAAATGATTTTCTTAATTTTTTCTAAATAATACCTATCACTGCTTTTCAAATGGCATTTAGATGTGGTGTGATAATATACTAGTCAATATTGGTAGGGGACACCTACATGCTAGCTTGCGTTGGATTTAACACTATTAAACACTTGCACTATGTTTTGCAAGGAGGCCGTCATTGCTGAAACTAAAACTTAAACTGGAGCCATTGACGGAAATTGGGGGAAATTCTGGAAAAAATATGAAAAAGTTTAGGGTCGGGGGTATAAAATAGGGAAGGTCGGGTAACCGGAACCATACATATTTTTTATTTGGCCTTATCATCAGAATTTTCATTGCCAAAGTACTTCATAAATATCAAATGTTAGCAATAATAACATTAATACTTTTTTTTCGTATTTAGAATTTACATTATGCAAGTAATAAGCATTTCAAACTCAAGTTTCTAAGAGTCCATGAAGAGAGCGTCTCCGAGAAAACGAACAAATGTTTCAAAGTTGTTAAAGAAAGCATTGAATTCTGTGCACGCTCGCTTCGATACAAGAGAAAACTGCAAATTCCAATGTTTATTAAACTTTAACAAAAAGATATTGCAAAACAGAAAGAAGGATATTAGACAAAGACTTTTGAGAACAGAATCGAGTGGTTTTACGACAAGTTGACCGAGGCAAAGAAAAAACAAAGCAATTTTTTTTTTTCAGTCTAGAAATGGAGAGGAAAGAGGTAGGTACGGTAGTCATATTACGAAGGCCCAAGGATTTCCCAATTATAATAATGCATCAATCCCAAAAAATATTCTCATACAAAGAAAATTAACTACTTATAGATACCATATTTACATAATAAAATTTTTGAAACTCGCCACAGCAAAGTGCAGAGCAGGCTGAATATTCCGTTTTTTCCGGAAATACCAATTTGCAACACAAATTTCATCATGAAATCTTAAAATTAAGATAGTGAACAGTCCTCGAGCAAAATTAAATGTCGATTTTCTAATTTCTTCTTAAACTAAACAAAATTTTACTTGCTTTTTGAGTTGCTCGAGGCATGTTCAGACCCTTTATTTTGATATTTTCGACGATTTCCGGTGGCGGATTCAGGAATATACCAGGGCACGTAGGTGTTTGTAGCTTAAGACTTATGTACACTGGCGACTGTTTTCATGATGGATACAACACAGAAGCATCGAACATAAGGTAACATATATTTTTGCAACTTTTTGAAAATTAATAAAAGATTTAATTAGCCTGAACGACGAAGTTAACGATAAAAAGAATGGACTGATACCCTCACAAGTTAGGCATAGAAACGTACCAATGCTCGCTTACATATTTGCGAGAATAACTCAAAATATTAATGTTTTTTAACATAATGACCCTAAAATTTGGATTGTAAAGTGAATAAATAAAAACTGTTACTCTACACTGTCGTCTGCATTGAAAGCGATCTAGCATGCATCGCCCTTTTGTCGTATAAAATAATATCATTTAGTATTTTTATACATATATGTAGTTTGAATCTACGTTAAGTATAATTTTGTACTTGTAAGACTATACTTTGGTTAGAGACAAAGACCATTATTACACTATTTGTAAACAAATTAGATATACAATATTTTCCTTTCGTAATAACAAATACATCTTTAAAACAATCTAAATTGTGTGTGTCGGCGATAGCGTAGTGGTTAGAGCGTCCATACCTTAACACTAAGCGTGATGAGGAAAGGGTTCAAACCCTTGCCGTGTAGCTTGATTTTTTTTTTCTTTTTTTTTTTTTGCAATTTAGAAACATATTTAGACTTAGAGAATTTTAAACTAAAAGTACTAAATACCTAAATATATTACACATGGAATGTCAACACAGGCACAAAGGGATGAAACACCCCCCTTTTTTAAATATATTTTTTTATATTGGATCAACAACACAGGTTTCCGTATTCATGTTTTCTGCATTATAAGTTTAATGTTATCAAATTTAACTGATTACACATTGAAAAGAGAGGGTTACATTAACACTAATATATAAATATATCCATCTACTCTAGAAAGCAATAGGAAAAATGTATATCATTGATCCGCGATCCTAATATAAAAATGATTTTAAAAATAAAAAAAAGTGGGGTCCATGCTGCAAATGTGCAGAGTTATTGAAATACCTGTAGATCAATCTCTGGTTAGATAGTCAATTTGATCAGGACTGAGAAAATATTACAACGTATTACAAAATTCCGTCAATGTCAGTCAATCAAAAACTCGAAGCTACATTAAAAGATTTAGTAAAGGGTGAATTTCTTAAAATGTTGGAGTTTTATGAAATACTAATTTTACAATATCTCTCGAAAAAACACTTTAAAAATACATTATGCATTATGAATTTCGTGCATTTTATTTATTTTTTTATATGAAGATTAATTTACATGAATGCAGTTTATGTTTTATAATTATATTTTATATTTATTTCAGTACAAATCATGGATCGAAATATTTATTGCATCCTTTGTCACCATCGTCACAAAGCCCAAGACAGGAGAAAGGTGAACGAAATAACGAAAAAGACTTTACAGAAATATTTCTGTGTTTATGATATATCTGAATCCTCAGTTATATGCAACAAGTGCTCACACATCTGTTACAAAAAACGAAATGAGACCACTAAGACTGATAAACAGTGTGATGAAGACGAGTACCAACCCCCTCCTAAAGTTACAAGATCTCTACCAGATAGAAGTCCTCCGTCAGTCAGGTTAGCTATTCCAAGCACAAGCACAGGCCACTCGTATTGTTTCGTTTGCAAAAGACCTCGACCAAAATTGCAGGTGGCCTCTACATATACACGATTTAGAGCATACGTTCAAGGAGAGATATTTATTCCCCCCGGGTCTCGGTGTTGCCCTGTCCACCTTGAAAAAGACCAACTCTCAGCTGAAACGATTGAGAAAATCAGAACATCAAAAAATTCAAGTTACTTAAATAGGTCTTCAGTTCTGGAGCTGTTACAACAGGCGAGGGAAGAGGTTTTGAGGAAAGAGGGTTCATGACTGACACTGATTATTACAATCTGACCGGACTTAGCAGGGTACAATTTGACGACTTGATGTGCGGGGTGCATAACATACGGGCAACACAAACTAGGTCCATCCGCACATGCATTGCAATTCTCCTGATGAAGCTGAAATCGGGCTTGGACAATCAGATGCTAGCTACGCTGTTTAATATGACTAAATTCCAGGTATAAACAGTATTATTTTATGTATAGTTCTGTATAGCTTATGTATGTATTTGACATTCAGTATATTTAAAATGCAACTAACCACTCTTCTCTTCAGAAATATGAAAAAATCAATGGCATTTTTGCTTTGATTATCAGACTGCCAAAACATGTTCATTTAAATGCTCTTTATTTAATATACAGATACGAAGAGCCGTGCATTCCGCTAGACGAGCATTGATGAAGGACTTCGTTCCCCGAAATCTGGGATTTGCACACATCACAAGAAATGATATCACTGACAGTCACACAAGACCACTTGCCCAACAGATGTTCTCTACTGTAGGATCGACACCTGCCATATTAGTCCTAGATGGCACGTATATTTATATACAGAAGAGTGGGAATTATACATTTAGCAGATCATACAGTGTGCACAAGCATCGCCCGCTCTTGAAACCCATGATGATTGTTTCGACAACAGGGTACATCGTTTCAGTCTTTGGACCCTATCTTGCAGATCCCAGAAATAATGATGCCTTAATTCTAAATCACTCTGTTAAATCAAATACAGAAGAAATGAAATCTTGGATAAGGGAAGATGATGTTTTTGTTGTCGACAGGGGTTTTAGAGACTGAGGACATGCTAACAGATTTGGGAATAAAGGTCGAAATGCCTGCTTTTCTTCAAAAAGGAAAGAGACAACAAAGGAGGCAAACTGTTCTCGACTTGTGACGAAGGTAATGCTTCTAAACAATCGAAAAAGCATATACCTACACAAAATTAAATATATACCTGTAGTATATATATTTATAATTTTGAGTTTATTTTTCACTTAAAGATTATATTTTAGGAAAGTATTAAGAAAATAATGATAATAAATAAAAATAAGCTTTTTCTACAGTTATTTGATTAGGATTTTGCTATTTATTATATTTCAGGTTAGGTGGGTGGTGGAGTCAGTTAATGGGAGGATTGAGACATGGAAATATCTCGGGAAGACTTTACCAAACACTCAGATCCCATATATCGGGGACTACCTACGAATTGTTTGCAGTATTTATAACAAATACCGACCTCCTATTAATACAGGCACTTTTGAAGACGATCTTGCTATAGCTACTAAGATGACTATGTTGGCAAAGCAATCAAATGAACTTCAGTCGTTTGTGCGGGAAAATGGTTTGTGATTTCAGAAACCAATCATCATTACAATGTAGCAATATAGTTTAATTCTTGAATGGTTTGTGATTTCAGAAACCAATCATCATTACAATGTAGCAATATAGTTTAATTCTTGAATACTAGTAATATAATATTATATATATATATATATATATATATATATATATATATATATATATATATATATATATATATAAAATATTAAAGTATGTACCACGCTATAAAATATATAATAAATATAAAATTGTGCATCCTTGTACATTGCTCTTTGAATTAAATTTTATTTAATGATCAGATATAATGATTAGATAATGTTTAGGGTCATTTTTTTTCTTGCTCCATTAAAATCTAATAAGCTACATGTATTCCAGGTCTGGATAAACGGTCTATGAAGTGGCAGAAGTTAGATGCAGAAGAAACTAGTACATGCATTACATTTCCTAAACTCAAGGAAGACGAAATCAGAGAGCTAACGATTGGCGTGTATCAGCTAAAAACAGCAAAATCTTACTCATCGGAGCATTTTACAGACGATGGATCATTTGAAGTTCTTGTCAGCAATGAGATTCCTAACATCATTAGTGCTAGAATCCAAAGCCGCCATGTTAGTTCTAAAAAGTACAGTCTTTGGGTAAAATATGACACTTCAATCCTCTCATGGTATTGTACTTGTAAAAATGGAGCCCGTGTAGTAGGCATGTGTGGGCATATTGCGTGTGTTATTTGGTTTTTATCGTATGCCAGGCATCAAAATGAAGAAGTCCGTGAATTTGGAGTTCGAGACTGGACAGAATTGGTAGAAGATGCAGCTAGAACTGTTGACTTTTCTGACAGTGAAGATGAGGTTCTAGTGGAGAATCAGGAGGAGTAGACTGTATATAACTGGTTTGAATCATTGCATGTTATTTTACTGTTTAAAGACTGTTAAAGGGGCCTACACAGTTATATTATTTACAATTTTAATTTCTATCTTAATCTAAAAAATAACAGTTTTATGAAATGAACTTACTTGAATAGCAACAATGTCATTTGTCAAGAAAAATATGTTTAAAGTGTGTCCAAAGAAGTAGTATCACTATATTTAAAATTTTTGGAAACAAAATTGACTCGTTCTGAAATATGTTCTGGTATTTTAGTGAATTTGTGAATTGGTTACCATGGCAACCATGTCATTTATGAAAAAAAAAATGTTAAAGAGTTTGTTGTAAGTAGTAGTATCACTGTATTTATAATTTAGAATAAAATTTTGCCATGTATCATAAACAGTTCCAATAAATGTATGTATCACTGTTCATAGTAGATGGAAAAAAAAATTGAAATTTTGAAGAAAAGTGAAAAATGGTGAATAAAGGATCCCATTTTTGATGCCTTGTGGTGCCTTATAGAATGCAGCTGCAAATGAAATTTTATTATTTTACATATACAAACATATATATAGGCCAATTATTTTTGAGATTAGGCCGATTTTGACATATACCATACTTTCTTGTTTGCGCCTCGTGTTTTCGCGAAGTATATTACATAAACCGAATTTTCCTCTTCAAATATATAAGAAAATATCAGGATGGCTGTAATTTCTATGGGATCCAGAAAGAAGAAAAGGGTGCAAAAGGCAAAGAAACTGCTATTTTATGGCTGGAAGAGTATATTTTAACACCGAACAAATGCCCGACTCTCCAATTCGCCTCGTTCAATATAAATACAGGAAATCCATGGTATATGACAGTTATGTAGAGGACATTTTTAACAAGGATGAGCTACCCATCTCTTTCTCTTCATTTCGAAACATTTGGAGAAATGAATTTCCACTTTTAAAAATTAAACAAGTAAGTTTATTATGTTTTCATAGAATTGCACCTTTTTGAATAAATAGGTTCTAATCCTTTATCCATAATGATGTTAAAGACAGTGGATAAAATTCATTGCTTTATAATTTATGTAAATTTACAATATTTATATTAATTATTATAATAATTATTTAAGGAATATTTTTTTGTGTGAGATATTGGTGTGTAAATCGCAAAGACTTGTCACGGAGGCATATTTCTTGAACGACTAAACTTAAGCATTCCTTGTATTTACATTTCACATGTTCAAAAGCACCAAAAAATATACTCAGTGTTTATTCTCTGTCCTATGTTTATCACCGTCTCTGTAGCTTATTGTGAGGTCACTTTAGCGCGAATTTCTCCGGGAATATATCTATGCGCGAGTCTACACGGAAATGACATTCAATCAATTACACTATTGGCTTAGTAGAAAAACACAGGAAATGTAAATATTTAAGGGTAATAATCACCAGCAATTTAAACGGTAGTGGGACTTCTGCTTTGATCGATCTGGTACTGATGCAATAAATCACTGTGACGATTTGGGGCTTTTGCTTTGATCTGGTACTGATGCAATAAATCACTGTGACGATTTGGGGCTTTTACTTTGATCTGGGACTGATGCAATAAATTACTGTGACCACTTGGGGCTTCTGCTTTGATATGGGACTGATGCAATAAATCACTGTGACCACGTGGGGCTTCTGCTTTGATCTGAGACTGATGCTATAAATCACTATGATCACGTGGGGAATTCTGCTTTGATCTGGTACTGATACAATAAATCATGTGACCACTTGAGTAAGTAAACATAAAAGATGTAAATTTTCAAAGAATGCAATAAAATATCGTTAATCCCTGCGACAAATTCTTTGTTAATTTTTGTATTGTTAACTCTGCTCTATACCATCGTTAAATGTTTTCAAACATATTTATGTCAAATCTCTGTTTATCAAAATGAGATCACCAAAACAGAGAGACTTTTGCAAGTCTCCTTTTTGTTTGATCCTTTTTTATTTATTTTTTTTACTTATTTTGACTTTGTTATTACAGCTTGAAGAAGGGAGAACATCAAAATGGAGAGCATTATTATGGCGTTTATTACTTGATACGAAGAGAAACCCCTCCTAGGCTTTTCCACCCGCCCCTCTCTCACATTTGTATATGACGGGGAACTACCAACGGCAACAACATGCATCAACAAATTGTATCTCCCCATCAAACAAAATTATAACTTTGACCTATTGGATATTGCGAACGCATATTTTGGACACTCGTTCGAACTCTTATGCTGTTATTATGCCCCCGTAATCGAAGATTCGGGTATAAAGTTTGTACCGTCTGTCTCTTAGCATGCATTACTGTTCTGTTTTGAAATAGTCAACACTTATTTTGAAATTCATGTTATAATCAACGATTCATAATCTTTCATATTCTTAGTAAATTAAATTGAAAACCCGAGAGTTTGGTTGGGAATAATCTTCTGATAACATTAGTTTAAAATCCTAAAATCCCGGAGTTTCTTGGGATTGTAAATTTTTGTTTTCAAAATTCTTATAAACTAAATACAAATGCAATGAAAAAGTTATTCTCTTATTTTTAGTAGGGGTAAATGGTAATGGTATTTTCCCGCGTTTCGATAGTATATGGCTAACTCCAGAGAATAACTAGACTTTCTGCCATCTGCTTTATTTAGATTGGTCAGTTTTGATTTTTTATACTCACAGGCAACACGATGCGATGTATCTTGACGAATCATGGGGCTGACACAGTTTTTACTTTTGACTAATAACTTCTCAAACGTAATAATTGGATAATTGCTACGTAAACACCCCTCGGAGAATACCCAAGTGATTGATACCAATAAACTGCTTCATGACCAGTATCACTCTTCAAAACAGAAACCGTATATTTTGCACCACCGGGGATTCTGTGAACCAAACTTGAAGTACTTGATCTGTGATGGGAGTCTGCTTACAAGACAGCAACCATATACATGACAACCTGTTCATGACAGGTCAAACTCCTAGGTCAAGGTCAGGGGGGTTGATATCCATAGGAAGATCTTGTCACAAAGAATACACATGTGAAGTTTGAAATCCCAAGCACCAACTGTTCAGAAGTTATGGCCAAGGTTAAAGTCTCATAAAATTTTGCAAAAGTGGGTCAAGGTCAAATATGATGATACCCAAAGAAAGGTCTTGTCACAAGGAATACACATGTGAAATATGAAAGTCATACCTCCAACCAATCAAAAGTTTTGGGCAAGGTTAAAGTTGACAACAGACAGACAGACAAACAGAAAGACAGGACAAAAACAATATACCCCCAGGATCTTTCGATTCGGGGCATAAAAATCCAAAATTTTACCGATATCATTAGTTTTTGGGGTAATGTGCTGCCCAGTACTCTGCCTGGTCGGTTTTGACCTCATTCAGGTAAAATTTCCAGGCAATAGGCAGCCTGGAAAGACGCCAGTGGCCACTTGACTATTTATGGAGCCATTCTCAGTAAGAGTGAAATGTTTATTTTAAATAAAATATTAATACATCTACTGTTCATTTCTATTATATTAATAAACGTAATATTTAATCATTTCCACCTCTTCTTTTAATAGATTTGATGAGCAATCTTAGTCCTGCCATTGCCATACCAAAGGCTTAACATTAATTTCTTCAGGACTTTGAATTCTGTTACAAAGATGTAAAATTTAGTGTTTGATAAACTTCTGACCGTGATCGGGAGGTCGCGAGTTCGAATCTCGGCCGTGACTGACCTAACTCGATAAAAAATGGGAAGCAACTGTTCCTTCGCCATGCGCTCGGCACTTTGAAGTGAAAGTTGCGGGTCCTTCGGATGAGACCTTAAAAACCGAGGCCCCGTGTCACGGCAGGCGTTGGCACGATAAAGATCCCTCACTGCTCAATGGCCGTAAGTGCCGAGTAAAGGTCAAAATTTGAAGCCCTTCACCGGTATATGGTGACGTCTCTATATGAGTGAAAAGTTCTCGAATGGGACGTAAAACAACATACAATCAATAAACCTCTGAATTTTTGCTTTGTTTTAGAACAACCAATTTCCAAACAACAATGTGTGTACAGATTGATTGATTGTATTTTGTTTCATGTCCCATTTGAGAATTTTTCACTCATACAGAGACGTCATCATATACCAGTTAAGGGCTTCAATTTTGACCTTTACTTAGAATAATCTGTGTCTCGGGACAGGCCCTCTCCACAGTTAGAATGCCTCCCATATACCCGTAATGTTGCAGAAAATTGCAGAATCGCTCCGAAACGATTATGGAGAAAATTAATAAAGCATTGAAAATAACAGTCAAACTAATCATAACAAATGTTTTTGAGATTGTAAATACCTTTCATCTAAAAATTTAATCCATATAATGGAAGAATTCAACACTTTTTCACCAACGTTATTTACTCGTTTCAAATTTGCACACCATGTTGACATTAAGATATCGGGATTTTTCATAGTAAATGCACTGAGTAAGAGTTATCTCCCGTATTTTCTTTGCTACATAGACAATACACGGAACGCATTCTATCGTTAAACCGGGTCCGTAGGACATTTATCATTTGAACGATAGAACATTCTATCTAACCTTTACTCGGCGCGCCATTGAGCCAGGAGGGATCTTTATCGTGCCAACGCCTGCCGTGACACGGGGCCTCGGTTTTTAAGGTCTCATCCGAAGGACCCGCAACTTTAACTTCAAAGTGCCGAGCGCATGGCGAAGGAACAGTTGCTACCTTTTTTTTTTCGACTTAGGTCTGTCGCGGCCGAGATTCAAACTCACGACCTCCCGATCACTGAGCAAGCGCTGTACCGACCGAGCTACCGTAACGGTAATGTGTGTACAGAGATCAAAATAAAACTAGGGGAAATCAGATATGTACGAGGAAGAATGATGCTTTCGAAGAAAAGAGATCTTAAAAACCAGAAGTCAGTTGGAAGAGCTGTATGAATTTATCAAGCTTTCACCAAATTTCATTTAAAAAAAAGTCTTTCCGTTGTTAATTTT